GCGGGAGGTTGAAGAAAGCGTCCAGCTGTTGATAGGCCTCATCGATGAGACGCGAATCCACTCCATGGTTGATCACCTGGAAGAAGCCGTGCCTCGAGCAGGCCTGCCTTACTAGCTCGGCGGCATGACGGGTGGAGTCTTGGTCGCCTCTGATGAAGCCATCCAGGTCAACTAGCGGCGCTTCCAGCTCTCCTTCCGCCTCCGCCACACACTCCTTCGGCCACATGAAACTCCTTGAAACATGGGACTGCATCCCGAGCCGCGATGGCGGATCTAAGATACTAAGACCACACGAATCCATATATGTCACTCGCTAGTTTAACTAGCAAGAAACGGGAGGACTGGTTGTGTGGTAGAGCGCCAAAAGGTATGGCATGTCTTTATAGAGGGCATGCCAAATAATCGCCCACAAGCAAACAAGGAAATCTTTGAAGGAATCATTTGTTTTCAAACACAAATAAATAAGAGATTTCTTTATCTATTTTTAATATTATAAAGGAAGGGTTAAATTGCGCTGTGTTTAGGAATGGATACTATATATTTCGGCTGTTAGACGCGACTCATGCAGAGGCCCAAAGGCCAGAGGTCCCGAGATTTTGCGCCAAAAAGCTTGGCGATCGATGTGACATGAGCTTAGCCTACTGTAAAAAAAGAGGCGGGGGGGGGGGGGGGGGGGGGGGGGGAACGTGCACGTCATTCACTTTGTAGAAAAAGGAGGGTTTCTTTCTCCAATCTTTGGCATAAGATGCAGAGGGAAAAGATAAGGTAAGAATAAAGGCGAAGCGCAAGTGAAAAAAGGGAGGACAAATTCATATCATCAGGCACAATGACGAGGTCAGACGCTGGGGTACCTAGCTAGTATTTCGAGATTTAATTAAAATCAAGTGCTTTTACGTAATATTAGGCAGTCTCCAGATATGCTCTTCATATTCTATCTTCGATATTTAATATAAAATCTAGTTATTTATTAGATTTAATACTAGACATAATACCTCAACCCACTTTATCTTTTAAACTTATAATTCTTTTTCTAAGTATTCTTATTGATTACAAATATTAAAAGACTTTCCAGATAATCATAGTTAAAAGAATATTTTAAAAAAATTAAACTCGTATTTATTACAAATAACTAACTCAACTGTTTTAATTTGTCTAAATTAATTAAATAGTTTTTACATTAAGAAAACGGAGGTAGTATGTCTGTAATGAACATTTAATTTGCATGTTCAGTTTCATCACTTTCATGTGCAGAAGCAAGTGTGGTCTGGGTAAGGGAATCGAAAGTAAGAACCAGAGTCACATTATGAGAACGCAAAGTTTGGCCAGAATATACTCCTCCGGTCCTTATTATAAGACCCCATTTGACTTTTTATTTGGTCCTAATTATAAGACCCCAATCCATTTTGTCTCTTATATTTATGTATTTTTTTCCAAGATAATCCTTCTAATAATGATAGTTTTAGCCAATATACTTAATTAGCAAGGATATTTTAGGAATGACAACACTTATTTATTATAAATAACCAATTTAACTTACTTCCTTAATCTCCTCAAATAAGTCAATTGAGTCTTATAATTAGGACCGGAGGAGTATTACAAATCGTATCTGTAATCTGTAATTTAATAATAACCCTAACATTAATTATATTAATTGTCAAAGCACTAAGAAACAAAACCATAACATAGTCAATATATTCTCCACCGCGATTGGTGCTCGTGAGCCAATAGTGCGTAAAACTGCAGAAGATATTTCAAATCGAATGGAGAATAAGGACACGAAATCTGGCAAAAAAGAACGGGGACACGAAAGAAATTAAGAATGTGAAAAATCACCAAAACAACAGAATCTAGAAGCCCACGATATCGTCCTCACTCCCAAATCTTGGGACACTGTCATCTTCTACATTGGATCCTCATTATCTATTTATCAACTTGTTGCTATCTTCGTCTCAAGACCCTTCTCGTTATTTTAATATAAGACTCTCTGTCTTAATAAATTTCATTAAGGATAATTTCGAGTATTTAAAATATCGATCATGTGAATTTTAATTTAATTCCTTAATTATGTAACGTTGTTAATGAATCTTATAATAAAAATGGAGGGAATATTTAATAAGAAACCGAGAAGGAAAACAAGCAGGCCGTCTGTGGATAGAATTTAGGCGTTTGGTTGATCACAACAGCTTTGCATCACCTGATCAATGGCTAGCATGTTTCTATCAAAAGCTTTCCGCATAATTATATGATGATATTACGAGACAATCATTCATGGACAATTCAAGAATGCCAATATATGCACGCCCAACTTAAACCAAACGGAGCTACATATATTATTGCCCCACACGATTTCATGTACCTTTTCAAATCCGTACACTGTATTATGCAATATGAATCATTTAATTAAACCATGTGTATGGCATATGTACACATTTATTTTCACACCTTCAACAAAATCATGAACCAACAATATAATTCCTTTGTAATTTGCTAAATAAATAAGGAACATGAATGAATTAATTAACTATTCGGTAAAGAGATTGATGGGATGGGGGGCATCACCACTGGAGTGATACTGGCCGACATGCCTCCACATGTGCTATCTCCTCACTAACACTGAATCCAAAAACATCATTTGATTCATTTCACATCCGATCCAAATCTCATCACTTACTAATAATCCTCCTTCAATTCCCTCATCGGCATAGCTCTATTTCTTGTTCATTTGCCAAACCATAAAGCACCCAACCTTTCAATGCGTTAGTTATGATTCCACGCGCATCCTTACGTTATTCTAATTCATTGCTCATCACCGTCAATCAAAGCAATCTCCCTATCTTCAAATTTTTTTATACGATATTCCCTTTATTATGATTTAGTGAAATGATGGTTTTTGGACCACTCTAGAGAGATAGCAACATAAAGAATTGAAGCGACCTCCAGTTTTGTAAATGTCAATTAAATCAAATTCCTTTTTCCTCACAATTAAAAAGGATTGTCGACTAATAAATGCCTCTATACTCAATTGGAAACATGATGACTCCGGAAAACTAGAAGCTCAATGGTACATTATCTGAATTCGTATTTTCAGATTCCTATGCCAAGTCTGGTTGTTCTAGATAATTTATATTGAGCTTTGACATTGATCAAGTAATTTATGACCGAATTTCTATTATTCACAATTGAGCTTCTAAATTTTAAGAATGGTTATTTTTTCCAGCAAGTAGATATACTCCTCCGGTCCTAATTATAAGACCCAATTAACTTATTTGAGGAGATTAAGGAAGTAAGTTAAGTTAGTTATTTATAATAAATAAGTGTTGTCATTCCTAAAATATCCTTGCTAATTAAGTATATTGGCTAAAACTATCATTATTAGAAGGATTATCTTAGAAAAAAATGCATAAATATAAGAGACAAAATGGATTGGGTCTTATAATTATGACCAAATAAAAAGTCAAATTGGGTCTTATAATAAGGACCGGAGGAGTATATATATATCTTTGGTTCATAGCTAGCAACATTTCTCTTTAATCATTACGATACTTTGGGCCTTCGTGTTTAAAACTTGACCAGGTGCTTCGACATTATTGTCTTCCTAAAATGATCCGTGACGTCATTTTCCCTGCGGGTAACTTTAGGAGATCCACTCATGATTTGCGACATTATCGATTATTCAACCTTGACTTCCTTGAATATCCCACTGGGAAATATGAGGGGGCCTCAATTATCAGTAGTCTTCGACATACATGATTCTACGCACAAACCGATTCCAAATGCTAATTATATTAGGGTTAAGTTATCAATTCATCTTAAAAATTTTCACTCGCGAGCATACCGGACATTCAAAATTTTTCTGAATATAAATTTACCTCAAATTTAAAATCGAAGAAAAAGTATCTTATGCTGTTAACATTTTAATAATAGGGGGCAGCATTACATTGCTATAATTGTAAACTTTCAAAATAAATTTATACTCAAAAAAATTTTGAAAGTGTTCAACGCTTTTGAGTAAAAATATAATTTCAGAGACAAATTTATACTCTATTCCATTACATTAGCCCTTCTATTCTATTCCATTCATTGAATTACACTGTATACTGGAAGAATTAATCGAAAGAAATCAGTACGGGACTAACAATCAATTGAACAATCAAAGCCATACAGGTTCATTTCAGCTGTTGCTTTGTATGCTGTGAGTAAATCAAAGGTTGAAACGTGCGTACGGAGTATGACATTATGGGTCGGATCGATCTCTCCTTCTTGTTTGATTCCCGTTGGAATGACCCCGACACTAATACCGCGCATATGAAGAAAGATTCATAAAGGTTTGGACGATAGATTTATGGAAGCAAACCTCAACTGATTAATTTGAATCAGTATCAACGCCGGCTTTACGGGTAATCAATCTAATTAAGAGGTTTACGATGAAATGGATATCGAAGGTGTAAAAACATGAATCAGAATGCCAATAGAGATGGAAACGAGACTAATATTACTTGATACCCTGTGTGGTATGCTTAAAAATAACTCTTCCAAAATCAACTCCAGCTCAAATACATGGTGCATATTGGAAGTACTGCTAAGTATTACATGTATCCTAACAGAAATTTAAATCTTAATTCATCGTGTTTTAAGAATTTATTATTATTATTATAATCAGATTCAACCCCCGTTAGTTTGTACTGCTGTTTCTGATATGATGGAAATCCTATGGAAACGAGAAGCATCTCCAGCTGGGGCTTTGGTTATTGGACATTAATGGGTTTAATGGAACCCCATGGGCTTGAAGGCCTTCGTTTTTTGTTACAGAAGGCCCAATATTCTAGTTGTACGCAACTTATTGTCTAACTATGTTGGGCCTCACGAATCAAACTCACTGGTGCTCCAATGGATTAGCATTCCACGGCCAGGCCCAAACCACAGCTAACCTCAATTGGGCCCTTCAGGCCCCAAAAAAAAAAAGGCGCTTCGGTCATCATATTATAAAGCACTTTTAAAAAATATCTTTCACTTGATATTATTTTCTTCCCCACAAACATCCCCTGTATACCATCACTACAAGCACGCATCCAATCGTAATAATAATAGCTGCAAAGACCACACTCCATCGACCTTCCAAACTTCCACGATTTAATCCATAAAACCAATAATTGCTGCTTTAAAAAGAAAAATAGCAAGCCCTAAAACCAAAAATTGTTGCTTTCAGATTTCAAGTATGAACATCAAAAGAATATATGAAATATGCAGCAGCGGGGCACGACATGCTCAGAGTTATCTACAAGAAGATGAAACAGTCCAAGGATATGAGAGGATTGTGAATGTCCTCCATCATGGCCGCCCCCGACTCTATCTCATGCTTAGATTCCACCACCTCTTTCACCACTCTTTCCTCTATTTTGAAATCGCAATTCTCTCTCCGCCTCAAACCCTGCAAACTCTGGTTTGGACTCGCCGCTCGCCTATTCTCCCTCCGCATCAACGACGTAACTGACTGAGAATGGGCTTCGCCATTAGCCTTTGGACCCATCGTTCGCTTCGAGAGATTATTGCTACCTCCGTCAAATCTACGGCTCGGCGAGGGTGACCTCAGTGTTCTGTTGGGTACATTGCACGGAGAATTAGGCCTCTCTGGTTCCTTCCGGAAACTCTTCTGTCTGGCCAGATTAACCGGGGAGCTAGACCGCACTCTCTTCAGCGGCACGGAGGGTCCGACACTCTTCTGCGGCGGCTTCAACGTGGACGCAGCTGTTGATGGGTTTGTTTTGCTAATCTGAGATTTAGTGGGAGCCAAGGAAAGAGAAGCTTCCTTGAGTGAATTGATGCGAACGATATGGGGGTTATCCTTGTAACAGGACCACAAGAAGTCATTGGAGAATGACCTGTCCTTAGAGGTTAATGCGGACGATGAAGACGCACTGGACAAGGAAGAAGCGGAGCTGATGGTGGAGTTCGAAAAGGCAGGGCAAGTGAAGGAAGAGGCAGAAGAAGTGGGAGAAGGAGGAGAAGGTGAGGTTTTGTTTGAAGTTGAAGTGACAAGCTTGTCTTCGACGTGATTGGACGCGGGTAGAGGAAGGGAATGCTGGTCGGGTCCGCATTTACTAATACAACAACCCATTGTGAGGAACAGGGGCTGAGAACCCGCGCCGGGGGGAGGGGGGGGAAGGGAATTAAAACGGAGGGGATGCCGTGGAAGGAGACGAAGAAGAAGATGGGGTATCATTATATGGCGTCAAAAGTTGTGTTTGAAATTAAAAGAAGGGAAAGCGGGGGCGTGAAATGGGGTTTTCACTTTTGAAGAATGTGGGTTCAGACTCGAGACGTTTGAATTGGGTTGCCCGGGGATGGGTTCCGTTGGCCAACGGCTACGCACATAGTGGCAGCGGCGATAGTGATCATGACACCTTTCGAGCGCGTGGAGAGTGGAGACGAGGAGGTGGATCCCTTCCAGCCCAGTGAAGGATCCGTATTCACTTTGGGCCATATCAATGGGCCGGTCAGACGGTCACGCCCTTTCAATAATATGCACGAGGCCCAAGCGTAAAGGGCGATGCGCTTGCTAGTTTATCGTACATAGGATAAGGATGAGGAAACAGGATGATCGCCGCAGATCAAGGGTTTGGGATAATTATTTTTATCTGGATATTTTAGCAGTCCATTCTCATCGCCCTTGCTTCCATGTTTTCACATTCTTTTGAGTTCATTGGTGCGAGCAAAAAAACATGGTCTCGTCCTTAATTACCGCCATTTGCCTCAATTTTTTTTTTTTAACCTCAGAAAAAGATATATAGAGTTCCAACAAAGAAAGGAGGAAGCAAAGGAATTTGGTTTCGGGGTGAGAGGGGTAGGGGGAGTAAATTGAGGAATGAGGAACATAAGAGGAGCGGAGGTTGATTGATGTTATAATTATGGGTAGCATAGATCAGGCGATTTGCAACTGAAGCAAAGATAAAAAGAGCAGGTAAAATCGGGGAACTACCAGAAACAGAAACGCGGATATTGAATAGCTTAAGCGGCTGATGGGAGTGTACTGTAGAAATCAACCAGACAGAAGCATCTCCATTTCAATTACGTAAAACAGAAGGATACACACACATACATAGAAGTGCAGTTAACAAAGAAGATGACAAAAAAGAAAGATCAAGTGGTGGAGGAGGAGGAGGCAGGCGTCCAAATTTCGGCAGCAATCTTCTTGATGACAGAGCCTCTTTTGGGAGGAAGCGACTGTTTAGGCCTAGCTGCAGCAGCGGCTTGATTGGAGGCGGCAGCTTCACTTGCTTGAGGTCGACCGTATCGTCCCGCGGTATTCACCGCCCATTCTTCAACCCCTCTGTTTTCACTCATCCTCTTCGCTTCCTGCACTTTCTTCTCTCCGCACCTTGCTCCCTTCTTCTTCTGCCACTCCCCCCGTCCCCTTGTCTTCCTTTTAATAACTTAGCAACCGAAAAAAACAAAAAAAGTACTCGAAAAGAAAAGGACGGCACGTGGCACCGGGCCCCTCTCTCAGACTCTCATCCTTCCAGGCAAATAAAATAAAATAAAAAAACTCATGGGAGATGGCGTGGTGAATTCAGAACCGTCATCCTTGTCTTTGACCCAAAAAAAAAAAAAACGCATCCTTGTCTCATCCCTTTCTCTCTTTTCTTTTTTTTCCAAATTTCAAGCGGTTAAAAAATAATCCTTTCAACAAATATGTTTCTCAATATTTAGATTTGTATTCTCTTTTTGCTTTTTATAAAAATCAAACTGTTATTACTTCACCTAGCAATTTGTTTTTTTATTTCATTTCTTATTTATTGAAACTATAAAACGTGATGTCTTTTAGAACTTGTTTAAAGTTCTGTTCAAAACAGATTTTTCAGTAAATTTATGTAAATCGAGACAAACTCTACTCACATACTTATCTCGCATTTCATAGATTATATTTGAAAAGTTAATTGTAAGTTAATACAAACAAGCTATTATCCATTTTTATTTCATGCCATCCCAACATATGGCGTCACTGCTTGGTGGTCATCCGCACGTCATGTCAACACCATTGGCTTTTGTTTATTTATTTATAAACTCTTTAACACCACGACCAAAAAAAAAAAATTGGCAGCATAAATATATATCACTTCGCTCCTTTCTATTTTTGTTTTTCAATGCCGCACAACGAGGCGCCCGCGGATTCCCACTTTCCCGCTTCCTTCTTTTCTCTGGCAACAAAGCGCGATCGGCAGATGCGCCTCTTCTCTTGCTTCAACTATAACCCCGGGAACCCACAAAATACCCTTTTGGCTTCGTAACTAAAAATATTTAGATAGAAACTAAATCATAATTTTAGAAGTAGTTTTATAATATATAAAATAAATATATAAAAAAATTTATTTCGATTTGCGAAAAAGTACTTTTTTAAAAGCACTTCTCATGTTATTCAAACACCTATTTAGTGATGCTTAACCGCATTGCGGCACTTATTGTTGTTCAATTTGATGCCATTCTTAAATATTATTAATTTTAGTTTTTTAGTTCAGTTATTTCAATTTTCAGTTATATTCAATTTTTATTTTTAAACAATTTAGTTTTCGGTGTTTAGTTTTGTTGTTGGGAAAAAATTTGGTTAAAACCGAAAAACCAAAATAAATATATAATATATTTTCATTTAATAAATATTATTATAATAAATATATATGTGGGTGTAAGTGAGCTCTTTAAATGTATGTTTTTTAATTTAAAACCACTTTACACATTTATATATTTGGTTAACTGAATAACTAAACCGAAATTTTTGGTTAGTTCGATTTTCGTTAATTTGGTTAATCGATTTCGGTTCGGTGTTTAAAATTAGCTCTATTCGATTATTCGGTTAATTCGATTAACACTGAAAACTAAACCCAAAAATTAAATACTCACCCTTAAATATTGTAATATAATGTCCGGTCAATGCCCATACTTCAATAAATTTGAGTTGCTTTATTTGGTATCTAGAAAATTTTCATCACCCGTTGCCAAGCACGCCTAATTGTATTGTTTTCTGAGAAAGCCTAGGGAAATTTAGGTAGAGAATTGAAAATAAGATAGGAAAAATGACAAATAAAGACTCTTAAATTACCAAAATCACAAGAAGGTCACCTGAATAAGCTAATTTACCAAGAAGGACCCGGTTTTAAATTATAATTATGAAATCAGGCTAAAAAGACAGAAATGTCCTTCTTCTTTTTCTTTTTCCATCACCCCATCCTTTCTCTTTCCTTCTTATCTCTCTCCGTCTTTGTCCTTCTCTCCCTCTTCATCTCCCTCTCTCTCTCTTCTTCCTTCTATTATTCTCCCTCTCAAAAACATTCATCTCCTGCCTATGTATTTATCAATATGATTAAGGTTATGGCCATTCCCATCAATCTCTATTACAAAAAAAGTGGTGACCCATCGTTAATGCTAGTTGGCAGAAGTAATCATCAGATTCAAGTTGACAACAATAGTGTTTTGGAGATGGTATACAGAATCAATATTGGAGAGGATGAGATTCAAGCTAATCAAGACACTACATGTATATATACTTCATGATTGGCATGGCATCACTTGGTGCGTTGGAGTGTGGTCATGGGGTTATACGGTGGAAGAGAATGAAACGTGAAGTTAATGATGGAAAATGTTAGCTGGAAGATGTTGTAGTTAATTTGAGATACACTTTGTCACTGAATCTTGCAGAAACTAGTTGCTATCAAAACACCTCTGGTTTTTTGTTATTTGACTTACTATTGTTGTAATTTTACTAAGTAATGTTGTAACTATATATTGGTTAGTTTGACCATAGCAACATGACATGACAATCTGAAAACTTTAGTATTTTGTTTATGGGCAGAGTAATGTTAACATTTAGTGTTTATAGTTGTTAATGGTATCAATGTAGATCCATTTAATGTTCTGAATTCATGACAAACCTCCTCACAAACTTATAATTTCACTTACCATAGTTGTTATTTGGCTTTTCACTCTTGTCAATTATTTTTTATAACTTGTCATTTGTCTTATTCAACTTGTCATAAATTACTTACCAGAACTTGTCATCTGCTAAAAAAATCTGAAAATTCTGTCATTTGAAAAGAAAAAATTAAATTTTTATGAATTGCTTATCAGAAGTTGTCATTCGTCTTACTTAACTTGTCATTCATCTTACTCAACTTGTCATTCGCTAAGAATGTTTAGTAAGATGTATGACAACTTCTGATAAGCAACTCATAGAAATTTAAGATTCTACATTAAAATGACAATTTGCACAATTCTTTGGAGAATAACAATTTTAGTTTTATTTAATAGACGACAAGTTCTAATAAGCAATTTATGACAAATTTAGTAAGACGAATGGCAACTTCTTATAAGCATTTCATAGGAATTTAATTTTCTTTGTTCAAATGACAGAATTTTCAGATTTCTTTAGTAGATGACAAATTCAATGAGGCAAATGATAAATTTTTGTATTTCTATCACTGCATTTCTATCACCACATTTCTAATTAAGTGGATAATATTAAATAGCTCTACATTATTACAATATAGAACTAATTAACAAAAAATGTTAACATTCCTCTGCACAGTATAAAAAGACCATCATTATCAGATTGTCATGTGTTTCTATCACTGCATTGTTGTCATAATAGTTAAAAGTCTGCATTAATAATACTAGCAAGCAAAATTACAACAATGGTGATTGTTATAATCCCTCCAATATATTTAACTCCCCCTTCATCACTTGCTTCAAAATGTCCACCAACGTGAATGTAACATAACAAATTATGTGTTTCTGTCGCTTCATTTCTATCATCACAAGATGATTGTTTTCTACTTTAGAAAATCACAACTTAAGTATAATATATGACAAGTTAAGTATATCAAATTATAACTTCATTTATTTCTAGATTTCTTTGGCGAATGACAAGTTGAGTAAGACGAATAACAAGTTTAGTAAGGCGAATGACAATTTCTAATAAGCAATTTATAAAAATTTAATTTTCTCTTTTCAAATGACAGAATTTTCAGATTTTTTTAGCAGATGACAAGTTCTGATAAATAATTTATGACAAGTTGAGTGAGACGAATGACAATCTATAAAAATCAATTGACAAGAGTAGAAAGCCAAATAACAGCTATGGTG